CTGTCATGGAGTCTATTCTGACCCACAGCACCCCTAGAGGACAGAGTGGAACTGCCCCACAGGGTCTCCAAGGCTGTCAGTCTTTATGGGAGCAAAGCCCAAACCACACCCACTGCTGTGGAGTCCATTCTGACCCACAGCGCCCCTAGAGGACAGAGTGGAACTGCACCACAGGGTGTCCATCTTCACAGAAGCAAAGTGCCTCATTTTTCTCCGGCCACCCTGCATCAATCTTCTGATTAGCAGCAAAATGTTTTAGCCACTGCACCATCAGAGGTGCTAATCCTGAGGACACTGCATGGCAATGGCCTGCTCCTGCTAGTATCTCTGCCACTAGACTGTGCCTTCTCCAGGAATCTTTGTGGTCCCAGCACCTGGCAATGCCTGGAACGGAGCAGATGTAACGTCTGCGGAGTGGAGGAGATGGATAAAGTCTGAGTCGGAGTGTGCACCGCTCCAGTGAACCACACTGGGACACACAGGAGCAAAGACTGGGTTCAGCCCTGCTTCTAACTCTTGCATGTGCAACTCATTTACTCTGGGCCCGGTCCCTCCTTCTACAAAGTAAGAGCTGCCATCGGCAACGGCAGCATCTTCCAATTCTAAATGCCCTGAGTCTGTAACACACCGCCAGGAACAGGGTCCAACTGAAATAGTTACCCTTGTGACCCATTAGAACAGGTTTTCAAAATCTAATTGTAACAGTTGCTTTAAAATATACGTGTACACCACAACCAACGCAGCATCAGCAAACCAAATACACACACAGACATGTACCCCTCCCCTCTGTTATGAACTGAACTGTACCCTTAAGAAAGACACGCCTGAGTCCTAACCCCCAGTCCTCATGAAGGTGACCTGGTGTGGAAAGAGGGTCGCTGAAGGAACTGTCAGTTCACATGAAGTCACACTGGAGTAGTGCGGGTCCCAGTTCCACCAGAGGGGTGTTCTTTTGGAAGAAGAGGGAAGACACAGAGACACACCGAGGGAAAGAGGCAGGTGACAGAGGCCAGGCAGGAGGACACACACGCCACAGAACGCCAGCACTGCTGGCTGTCACCGGGGAAGCAGGGTGTCTAACCCCAGCCTCCAGAAGCGGGAGACCGTAGCCCCCAACAGTGCTTTCTGAAGCCGTGCGCGTGGTGACCAGCACACCCTGTAAATCTCCACACAGAAAGCAGGGGCTGCAGCTAGCAGCCAAGATGAGCCCTACCCTGGGGCCACACTCAGCTTCCCAGGGTCGGCATTGTCCTCTCCTTTACTGCTCTAGGGCTGAAAGCAGCCAGCAGCACTTTCAAACAAGGTTGTTTTTGGTTTTTGGTTTTTGAGTCTTTCATAAACCTCAACATATAAACTTATGTAACAGCAGCTACATAGCTGTGAGCACTCCCTGAGACACATGCTATGGGAAAATGAGTTATTAGATACATTTTATCTGATGAACTAAATCTATCACTTCTTCTTTCACATAAATAGTAATTAAATAGCGTATTGTTTTAGGAAACACTAAACACAGTGAGTATTTATTAACCTCAGTCAATAAAATGGATTCTGCAGGTAAAAGCAGCATACACTGTAGTGAGAACCGAGACCGAAGCTCTAGGCCTTAATACTTAGGAGTGTCAGGCGCATCTCAACGTCTGTTCCTACTCACCTTGTGGGCAGGCACCAGGTTTACCAAGACCGTATCCAAAAGCTCCTGCGACACCGTGTCCCCCTCACAGATGATGGAGCTCATGAGGTCCACCATGTGCATGTGTACTTTCTGATTGTGGCCGTTGCTGAAATTCAAAACAGGAATTAGCCCCGAAGCGTGACCGAATGCAAGAAGCCCTGAATCACAAGACGTCCCAACCAGCTACACTTTATGGAAGATGAAACAAATACACTAAGTATTTGCTATCCATTCACTTAAAGCTTGTCTCCCAGATTCTACAGAGGATCAACACTGCATTTAAAACTACATTTCTTGTTTACTTTTCCCTAATTTAAGACAGTTCCCTAATCACAATCAAAAGTGACTACATCAAATGTAACTTTAATTTTTTTTTAAAATTCCAAAAGTCAGATGACTATGCCAAAGTTAAATGCAGTAAGTAAATTTTAAAAACACCAAAAAAGCTCAAAGTATTCACAGAACCAGGGAATCAACATATCTAATTAAAATAAGAAAACAGCAACACAACCCAAAAAATATTTTATACTGGTTGTGATCTGCTTTATGCCATTGTTCTAACCAATTATTTCTTACAAAGTAAAATTCTAATCATTCTAGCATCTATGAAAATAATTTTAAGCGAGCTCTTCAGTTAGAGGCCTTAGCCTTCCATTCAAACAACCCATTGTCATCAAGTTGATTCTGACCCACAGCGCCCCTAGAGGACAGAGTGGAACTGCTCACAGGGTCTCCAAGGCTGTCAGTCTTCACAGAAGCAAAGCCCAAACCACACCCACTGCTGTGGAGTCCATTCTGACCCACAGCGCCCCTAGAGGACAGAGTGGAACTGCACCACAGGGTTTCCAAGGCTGCCATCTTTAGGGAAGCAAGCTGTCACATCCTTCTCCCAAGGAGTGGCCAGTGGGTTTGAACCACTAACCTATAAGCTAGTGGGTAAGCATTTAACCACTGGGCCACCTTCCTTACACAAACACACTATGGGAATTCACCTGTAAGTTAGCAATTTTTTACCCTGATACATTTTTAAATATTACATAGTTGGCAGAATAACTTACTTTATCACTGAAAACAATGTCCTGTACAGCTGGGTAAAAATCTCATTGCTGTCCTCTAGCTCGAAGCATATGTTATATGACTTGACCCAAGCAATGTTCTACAGAGGAGGCGAGGGGGGTGAGAGGCAAAAAATGCCATCAGTAAAATCGTCCCGGCACAAAGGTCCCTTTCAAATGCTGTTCCCTCCAGATGCACAAATTGCTTACCTCAAGTAAATAAAAATACCTATTGAACTGTGGGCTCTTCGTATCTTCCAGCCCCTTCAGCTGCCTGGTTATAAACATAAATATGTCCTTAAAAAGAAAAGACAAAGCACTGTTTCAACGATCAATACTGAATGGAACCCCGCCCTCAACTCCTCTCGCTCAGCCAGCACTCGCAGGGAGCTCAGGGCACGCACCAGGCTCTCGGTCTTTACAAGTTCACCTCCAAGTGAACAACATTAGTGATAGCACCGCCTCCCCGCCCCTCACAGGAGAACAGTACGCTGGTTACTGTGACCTCAGAGGAGAGAGAGGAAAATGTCATCTCACGACAAGCGAGACAAAGCTACGACTCCGACGTGGACGCCACATCCACTCGAAGTCACGCTGTCATTAGAGTAATGACGGTGGAAGGGCTGAGAGCCCATCAGCTCTGCCGGGAGAGCAAGGTCCACAGTCATTACTCCCCCAGGGCAGCGGCTAAGAAACTTAACGATCCAAAATAAAACCACCAAGTAACAGAACACGGGATCCCAAAGCGCAGAACCTTACAGGCCCTTCAGAGAGAATGAGTCGGGTACCCCACCTCGTCGCTCTAACATCATCTCCTGTCATTCTCCACCTGCCCCCACCTCTGACTCTGGATTTTGTATCTGGGCTCAGGGTCCTTCCCGGTGAATTTTTACAGAAAGGAGTTTCAGGAGAGATGTAGTTATTTTTGGAAAGTTTGAAAAAGGCTGAAATTTAGGAAAGATAAATCTATCAGGAAGTCCACGACCAATCAACCAAAAGCCAAGAGGAGAAAGCATGTGTGTGAACAATAAGCTTGTCAGCAAGATGCTAAGTATGCATGTGTGCACACATGTGCACGCGTGTGCGTAAGATCTAACATCCAGACGAAGGAGCTGCTTTCCAAGAAAGAGATCATCAGCAGCAGCTGAGGCCGTGCCCTCTGAGGCCGCGAGCGGGGAGCACAGTGTAGCTGGGGGACTGAGCCCCACTCGGACAGGCAGAGGCCATGGGGCTCGTGTCCATCTCCCCACCACCCATCCCGTGTCCTAAGCGGCGTGAGGGGCGGGGGGCAGGCAAGAAAGGCTCTGTGATGACCACGAACGGGCGTGGAAGGTGAGGACAGAGGGGCGTGGTCTCCCAGTCCAAGTGAGGACGGGGAATGAGCAACAGCACCGCAGCGCCAGCGAAGCAAGAGTGAGTGGGGCTGTCACTGGTGCTCAGAAAACACCGTCAAGATCAGCTGTCAAACCCCCCCGCCCACCTCCAGAAAAAAGGCATTTAGCATCAGACCTACTGGCCCCCAAAATCGGATCCTTTAGAACTTCAGGCTATGACATAAGGTATCAAGGCCAGGATTTAATCTCGGCTCTCCAGTACCAGCCGAAATCAGTCGATTATAACCAAACGAGGATCGGCAGCTGTTCCTCTGCGAGGACTTCCCCTCGTGACCCAGAGCTGGGAGATGGGTCGCTGATTACACCAACTGGGAACCCACAGAAAGACGACCAGCTCATGCAGCTTCAGTGTCAAGTCAGACCTCCCCCTTCACAGACCAGCAGCACCACACCAGGAAAGGGGAGGAGCCAGCACCACACCTGGGGAGGGGGAGGAGCCAGCACCACACCAGGAAAGGGGAGGAGCCAGCACCACACCAGGAAAGGGGAGGAGCCAGCACCACACCTGGAAAGGGGAGGAGCCAGCACCACACCAGGAAAGGGGAGGAGCCTGCACCACACCAGGAAAGGGGAGGAGCCAGCACCACACCTGGGGAGGGGGAGGCGCCAGCACCACACCAGGAAAGGGGAGGAGCCAGCACCACACCTGGAAAGGGGAGGAGCCTGCACCACACCTGGAAAGGGGAGGAGCCAGCACCACACCAGGAAAGGGGAGGAGCCTGCACCACACCTGGAAAGGGGAG